TTGTCCTGACTGTGGGCAAGGCAGGAAAACTGTAGTTACACATGATGGCTTCTGCCACCTGTAACCCAAGACCTAGATGGATACCCCCACCCAAAATCAAACCATATGATATAATCCTTTTGTTGTTGTTTTGCTTTTTGCTTTTTTTGTTTTTGTTTTTGTTTTTGTTTTTTTGAGACAGGGTTTCTCTGAGTAGTTTTTGGTGCCTGTCTTGGATCTCACTCTGTAGACCAGGCTGGCTTCGAACTCACAGAGATTCGTCTGGCTCTGCTTCCCAAGTGCTGGGATTAAAGGCATGCGCCACCACCACCCAACCCCATACTATATAATCTCAAAGAAAAACAGTCAGTGGCATATCCCTCATTTTGCAATGGCACCAATAGACTAGTGGACTGAAAGCTCCTTTGCCTATGTGTGTGTGTGTGTGTGTGTGTGTGTGTGTGTTTATGTGCCTGCAGAGTTCCGAAGAGGTCACTGAATCCCCTGGAGTTACAAGTGATTGTGAGTTACTTGATATGGGTGCTAGGAACTGAACTCTGGTCCTCCGGAAGAGTAGTTAGTACTCTTAACCCCGGAGCAATCTCTCCAGGCCCTCACTTGAAGTTGATTACATCTAGAAAGAGAATTGTACCCGTTCCTTAAATAAATGGATAGATGGATAGATTGTAATAGACAGATAGATAGATGATAGAAGATGATAGATGACAGATGATAGCTAGATAGATGTTAGATAGAAGATAGATGACAGAATATAGATTGATAGATGACAGATGATAGATGACATGATAGATATATAGAAGATAGATAGATGATAGATAGACAGACAGATAGATGATTCTAAGGCTGACTTCCATCCCCAGTCTTGTTCCTGAACTTGGGCCTCTCCCAACTTGGACAATAGCTCAGTTGCTACAAAAGCAGTTTATCTCCATATCTGAGAAAAACCATTGCTCGCTCTATTGTGTGACCTGCGCTTATTCTGTGGTGAAGACAGGCTGACAGGCCAGGCATTAACCTCAAGGAGCTGTTTATCAAATGCCCTGCTAGAGACTTCAGGCTCCTCCCAGCCCCGCATTGTTACAGATGACATTAAGGAAAACAAACAATAGCACAATTGCTCTCCTTTTTAAAACGATGGCCCTGGATCTAAAGAGGCAGAGACTTCAAATCTAGAATAAACTCTCAGATCAGGGACTGGAGGGTCATGCAGGACTGGAAGCAAGGACTTCCTGCGCACAGAGGCATTCATGAGTTTCCCAGGAGGGACTATATGGAATGGGAGACCTGGGGGTTCTAGAAGCACATAGTCCTTCAACCACTGGGGTCTGGAGGGGAGGGGGGAAGAAGGTACCGAGCATCCCGGTGTGCAGGGAAAGGAGGGGAAGAGGAAGGAAGGGACACAGGCATGGATGTCATGGGCCAAGGCAACCCATCCCCAGGAGATCTGAAATTTTGACACTGACACAATGTTTGACATTGAAACAGAATACCTCCAGCACACATGCCAGAGCCTGTCACATAGAACGTGCTCAGTAAATAGCAGAGACCCCCCCCCCACACACACACACAACTCCTCCATGAGATGGAGACACTTTTCCCAATGGAGCAAGAGCTGTGACTTGGACAAAGGGCATTGTCGGCTCCTCCCGTTCCTGAGCTGCTTCCCTGTTGCACTGCAGCCCCCAGCAGCCAGGTCTCTGGGGTGCCAGCAGACGGGACCTTCCCAGCTGTCACATCTGCAGAGCATCGGCAAAGGGCTGGGTATTACAGATAAGTGTGGAGACAACGTCCACATTTCACATAGACACACATCCACAGCCCACTCACACAGACACATTCACACCCTCTATAGGCACACCTATCCACACTTATATTCACACAAATACACTCACACTCCCATACTCGATACACCAAAGAAACATACTCATACCTTCACACACACAGACACACGCTCACACTTCTACACCTACATTCATACCCCCACACTCACTGCCCCCCTCACAGTGAGTCACATCATTTTCCCCTCACATAATGCCTTTTAACATTAGCAATCTTCAATTTGGGGCCCATTTTATTTACATCATCACTGAGTGAATGAAGTGACTCACGAAGAGAGTATCTCTGGGTCTCCATTTTCCTGTTGTCTTGGTGTCATGGTCCTCTGCCCCCCAAAGCACCTCTGAAGCAAAATCCAGTGGGCGGAAGGCTCATGTTCTCCCCTACATTCTTATGTAGAATGCTGCAGGTAGCAATGAAAGACCCCAGTGAGGAAACAGCCAGGGGCAGCAGCCTGAAAGCCAGGAAGGGAGTCCTTGAAGAAACAGAATTGGCTGGCACATTGACTTGGAATTTTCACCCTCTAAAAACGCAAGGGAATATATGTGTGTTGTTTAAGCCACTCAGCGTGTGGTATTTGCCATCAGTCAGAGTACAGTAACAGAGGCGGGTCTCTAAAGCTGGCCCAAGAGGCCCTGACATTTGGCTTTCTTCCTCTCTGCTCACCCATCTGGCTCCCCCCCCCAACTCCCTCCCTCCAGCCACACTGTATCCCACATACACTCCCAAGCCAGGGCCTTTGCATCCACTTCCTCTGCCAATCACACTCTTTCCGTATATGTACATGTGTGTGAGTGTGCATGTGTGGTGTGAACAGTTTGGCCAGAAGATTAACCTTGGGCATTCTTTTTTGGGAACCACTCACCTTGTTTTTTGAGATGGGGTCTCTCATTGGAACCTGAGGTACCTTGATTCAGCTAGGCTGACTGGCCATGGAACCCCAGATATCTGCCTGCCTCTGCCTTCCCTGCCCTGGAATTCTAAGCATGGACCACCCTGCCTGGCTTTTTTAAAATATAAGCTCAGTGTTCTGGGGAATCAAGCCCAGGTCCCCACGCTTACACAGCGAGTTGGGTAGCTTTATGTTAACTCGACACAGGCTAGAGTCGTTTAAGATGAGAAAACCTCAAATGAGAAAATGCCTCCTTAAGATGAGGCTTCAGGCAAGCCTGTAAGGCATTTTCTTATTAGTGATTAATGGAGGAGGGCCCACCCCATTGTGTGTGGTGCCTGCCATCTCTGGGCTTGTGGTTCTGGCTTCTATAAGAAAGCAATCTGAGCCATCAAGAGCCATGATGAGCACACCAGTAAGCAACACCCCTCATGGTCTCTGCATCAGCTTCTGCCTCCAGGTTCCTGACAAATTTGAGTTCCCGCCTCAGCTTCCCTCAGTGGACTGTGATTCAGGATTTGTAAGACAAACAACCCTTTCCTCCCTGACGTGCTTTTGGTCATGATGTTTCATCGCAGCAATAGTAACCTGACTAGACACACAGCAAGCGTTTCGCTGACTGAGCTATCTCCCTGCCACTCTCACTTCCAAAGCAATGCTTCTCGCTTTCTTCAAGTCTCTGGCCAGAAGTCCCCTTCTCCGTGAAGCTGACTCTGGAAACTAAACTGCGACTCGCTTTGTGTGTCAGCCGCTGTTTCCAGCTGCCCTGCCATGTACTACATTTTGTTTATTTTTTTCACTCCCTGGCCATTTCGCACAACCACGATTCAGGGGAGCAGGATATGTGTCTGTTTTGTTCAGTGATAAATCCCAAGTGCCCAGCACTATGACGCATGCGCGTTTTCTTTTCAATAAATATTTTTTGTCTGAGTACCGGGGCCTCATCCCTTGTGAATTAGCTTGACTGCCAGGAGACCACGTCATACCAGGACTTCCCAGAAGAGGGCAGCCGAGGAACGCCAGAGACCGCTGAGCGGCGGCGCTTTGATCTCAAGATTCTTGGAAACAAGATAACAACCCTGGGGAGGAGTGAACTCCAGTCCCACTTACTTCTAAGGCAGGCTTTTCCCCTTAACAAAAGGGTTTGGTGTAGGAGGCCGCTGCGGAGCCGATAAGTCCCCTATCCATGGCACAGGAGGTTGTTTACCAAAATTCAGGTGTAAAAATTTGAAAGAGCGTTGAATAGAAACAAGGTCAGCCAGTCTCCCAGGGCGGGAGGAGGGTGGAGAAGGCCAGCGGAGAGGAACTGTGTCACTCCTCCAAAGGACAGAAGATGTCGTTTACCCTCTACTATCTAGGGAAAGAACTTAGCCCCTAACCCACCCCGAGCTGTAAAGCCTCTAGTCTTATTCTTGACACCCCAGCAGATCCACACCCCACCCCCACCCCAGGCCAGTCAACCCTCTTCCCGGGCGATTCTGTTACCCATTCAATCAGGGAATTGAATTGCCTTGGTAACAAAACCTTCAAAAGCCAAGTTCAAGGTGAAGCTGCCTCAGATCAAATCACCATTTGAGTGTGTCAGGTTGGAAGCTGGGGTGGGGCTTCAAGATCGGCATTGCCAGAGCGTCTGAGTCTGTTGACCCAGAACTGGCCAATCAGCTGGTCAGACTATTACTGTTTGGATGACCACATGAACCAGCGTTTATTGAGCGCTTCTGTATGCCAGACACATGCAAGATATGTCAGTGGCATTTTCCCATGAATTCTCAGAGCAACCAACTCTTAAAGTCTGGGCTCTTTGTTCTCATTTACAGGTGACACCAGAGAGGTTATCCCTCACCAAAAGACCCAGTTAGCCCTGAGGTCACTCTCAATCATGTGGAAGGAGGCATCTCCATGGATCCCTCAGAATTGAGATAGCATGTAATCCAGCTTGGTCTCCGACAGATGAAGAAACTGAGGCCTAGGGAGTGGACAGAAACTTCCCAAATTCACACAGAGAAACTAATCCCTGCAGCTTGCCTGACCAGTGTGTACAAGGATAGATCCTATAACTTCACATCCCTGGCTAGTGTCTGGTCCCCTCAAAGGCTTTTATTTTTCCTTCCTTGATTCCATATTCTGGGTATGATGGTGGATATTTGTAACCCCAACACTCACAGGCAGGGGGATCTGAATTCAAGGTCATCCTCTGCTGCATTACATGAGACCCTGCCTACAAAACCAAACCAAAGCTTGATTCCTAGTCTGCATCTGTTAATGGAGCAACTCTTCCCTACACCATGTCACAAAGGAAACAACTTGTCTCTTGGAGTTTTATTGACTTGTAGGCTGCCTCTGTGGGCAGTGCTGGCCCCTTGTGATGAGACTTCTGCCTTCTCCCATTGTTAGTTGTATCTGTGTTCAGACAGCATTATTCACATAAAGACACAGCCAGGCTATAGAGTGAGGCCCTGTCTCTAGATAAATAAATAATAAACAAACACTTGGGGCAGGTGATCAAAGCATTTGATGTGAATCATTATTGGTTTTTATAAGTTATCTCATGTAACATCTTCAAACTCACATGCTGGTGTCTGGTGAATAACTAGGTCTCCAGGTCACTTACAGTTTGATTTCACACAGTGTCTTCAGAGTCTGGTGCAGTCTACCCTGACTGACCTCAGTTTTCTCAAATGCTCTATAGCCTCGAGTGACCAGTGTTCACTGTCCAGGTGGACAGTCTTGTTCTTGGCTTTTCCTTGCTCTCAGCAGGTCACCAGCAGCCTTTGATAATCTTTCTTTCAAGTACTCCACACTCTCCGTAAATATTCCTGTGCCATCTGTCCTGCAGTGATTTTTCACAAGCACAGTGAACTGAGATGGGATGGGTGGTGATGGAAGAGTTACTGGAACTTTCCCTAGAGGACCCTGGAGCCAGGATCCTGGCCACCTGAGACAATGATGCTGTTTCTGCACCAGACAACTCCATGGCTGGAGTGAACATGCCCTCTGTGGCTATAGCTACTACTTGATCGTTATTAGGGAGACAGACCGTAATTGCGAATGAGCTATGTTTTGGAAACATATAGAGGCTCAAGCCTGGCTTTACCTACCTGGATGGAAGAAGTGGGACCTTGAGTTCTCCCGGCAGCAGCCATCCCTGAGGCTCCAGAGGGGGCCAAGGTCAGGCCCACAGAGCTGAAGCAAAGTGTCATCAGTGAGGACAAGGGAGGGGCCCTAGACGCCCGGGATGAAACCAGGTGAGATTCGTAGGCCGTCTGGCACAGATTCAGGGCTTGTAAGCATGGCAGTGCGTCTGAGGGCATCAGAGACTCATCTGCTTTTTCTTTGTCCCTAGCTTCTTGAAGGTCCTTCCCTTGTTCAGAATCCCACTGTCAGGCTGCCTGGGTTTGTGTTCTGGCTCTGTTGTGAAGCATGTGGATCTAGACAGCATCTCTCTTTGTCTCGGTGTCTTCGTCTGTGAATGGGGACACGATTCCTTAGGTTTTTCTGCACATTGAATGAAGCATGAGGCTCAGCATCATGCCAGGCTACCATGGTTATACTTCACCGGGCAGAACTGGTTCTCCAGCACCCTGCCTGTCCAGAAAAGAGGCACTTTGTTATTTCTCTCTCTCTCTCTCTCTCTCTCTCTCTCTCTCTCTCTCTCTCTCTCTCTCTCTCTCTTCTTTTTTTGGATTTGTTGTTGTTTTGAGACAGGGTTTCTCTGTGTAGCCCTGGCTGTCCTGGAACTCACTCTATAGACCAGGCTGGCCTCGATCTCAGAGATCCACCTGCCTCTGCCTCCTCAGTGGGCCACTAGCCACCACTGCCCTGCTTGTTATTTATCTCAATTAACTCATTTTATATGTTAAAATCGGAGCAAAGCATGAGTGTAGGTCTGTGTTTAGGGAGAACAATCTCTGAGGTGTATGGTAAGTAAAAAACCAAGTTCAGGGTAGTCTGGAATAAACACCAACATGCAGCACCCGCACTTAGAAGATACAGGTAAGAGGCACTAGGAAGGAGACCTGGGGACAGGGAAGATGTCCAGGTGACAAGGAGGGTGTCTTCTGTGATTCAGCCCCTCTTAGCAGTGACATTTTACTGGAAGAGTATTTCTGCCTTTTTTATTTTTTTATTTTGAGCACATATTACCTTTTCAATTAAAAACAAAAACAAAAACAAACAAAAAATTCAAATATCCAACTTTGCCCCAAACAGTGATAATTTGTCGTTTGGGAAGAAGTCTGAATTTTGAAGGGGCAACATGAAAATGTGGTGCTATTCCACTGCTGGGTAGCGAAGGCCAGGGTTCCCACCCGTGAAAAGGATTTGCTCCTTAGCTCAGTGTTCCTGTGTCAACATTTAGGCACCTGTCAGAATATAACTCAAGCAGGGGGAAACAAAAAAGGGGCCACGCATTAGGTCATACACAATACCCTGTGAAGAAAATGTCACACACACACACACACACACACACACACACACACACACACACACCACCCCAATAAAACAAAGGGATCCACACTTATATATCCAATAATCAGAATACTTCTAATGCCCACATCAATAACCAAAGGGTGTCAACACATACACACACACACACACACACACACACACACACACACACACACACACTGCCTAATAATGCAAAGTCTTCATACATACACCCAATAATCAGAGCATTTCATTATACCCACAGCACTAACCAAAGAGCTGCACACACACACACACACACACACACACACACACACACACACACACACCATATGAAGGGCTTCTTCTAGATACCCAATTATCAGCACTTTATACTCCCATACCAACAACCAATCATAACACTCCCAACAACCACAGCATTTCATAAATATACATGCATACTTTCCCAACACAAGTGATTCCACAGCCCCCACAAACCAACTGTTTCATTCATGCACCCCAACCACCAACAGCTCTCTGTGAGACATCCCTCACCCCCATCCCCAAGCTCCTGGATTTGCTTGCTGCTGCAGCAGATACTTGAACACTGAGACATTAGCCGTGACTTTCTTTTCAGATTAATGAGCAGAAAAAGATTGGAAGAGGGAGGGGGCGAGAATGGCGAGAGAGAGCAATTACACCCAAATCTTTTCTCTGTTGATTAGGGATTCCTTCTCCAGGCTGCTTTGGCTCTGGCTAAATCTTTTTCTAATGAGATGTGGCTTATCCAGATCAGGGCGCTGAGAAAAAAGTTGCAATTAACTTTAAGAAGAAAAGGAGTGAGTGAGAAAGAGAAGGAAATGTGGAGGGGGAGGCAGGGCCAGGGAGTGGGGGCAGGGACTGGTACAGTGGGCATGGCCAGGCATAGCCACCACAGAGCACCCTCGGGCAGGTGGCGGGCCCTGCCTATCCTCACTGAGAGTCTACAGTTTTCATCTTGGATTCTAGTGCTTAGGAAGGGTCTTATGGAGGCCCTTCAGCCTGGATTGGGTCTCTTGGCTACTTCCAGTTCAAGTCAAGGAGGGGAAGTGGTCACCTCTAGTCTAGGGCTTTTCGCTTCCTTGTGTCACTTTTTCATTTGTTTCTCTCCCTTTTGTGCGCTCAGCCTTGCTTGAAAAGACATAGGTCTTTGACTACTCATGGGTATAACAGGTCGAAGCCAGTTCTTATCTCAGGGGCTTCTGGGAGACAGCTGCCCATTAGCAGCCAGAAGCTACCGTACTTAAGTGTGCTTCAGACAAGAGAACTGTACTTCAGGGTCTCCCTGGACTGCCTCACTCTACCTACATGGGAATAGGGTCCAGAGCCACTTAGAAGGTCAAGGAAGAGGAGCTAGAAAGATGGTTCAGTGGTTAAGATCACATACTGCTCTTGCAGAGGACCTGAGTTCAGTTCCCAGCACCTATACTGGGAGGCTCACTACCCCCTGTAATCCTAGCTCCAGAGAGATCTGAGCCATCCATCCTCACAGGCACCTGCTCTCATATGAACACACCTATACACATATACACATGATTAAAAAATAAATCTTAAAATCTTAAAAGGAAAGCAGAGAAGAGCTAAGATGGAAAAGGACACTTTACACTGATGTGAAGAGAAGCATGTCCTTCACACACACGGCTCTGTGTTGCTAGGTTAAGCTTGGCTAAACCAAAGCTATAGACTAGTAGTTTCTTCTCTCTGGGGCTCAATTTTCTCTGTTAAGGAAAATAAAGGAAGAGATGGTAGACTCCAGGGCTTTTGCCCTCCCTGGGTCCAATGAAAAGCACAGACATCGAGTTACTGTGCCTCTGTCCCCTGAGACTCTCACGCTGTGCCGTGGGCATCCACAGGACATTGTACCTTCCTGTAAGACTTTATCCACAGGAAGATTGTTTTCCCCCTGCCAGAGTGATGACTATCCAGCAGGGCCTGAGGGCATCTGACTTGGCACTTGTGGTGGGGTCTCAGATTAACAACTTGTTATCTATGTGCCAGCCAGGCTGAAAACATCAAGTATGGGTCAGCTGGAATTAGGCTGGGGTTGGGGGGCGTGGATGGGAGGGCACAAAGGGGTGTAGTTCCATTTTCTTTGTCCCAGACAGACACACATACCCACATATGCTAAGGGACCCAGGCAGTTCATGCAAAGCCTTTATTCTATCCATTTCAAACTGCCTCACTAAACCTGAGGGACTCCCTGAGTAACTCAAGGGATTTCAGGCGCAGAGCTGTTGTCTCCAGGGGAAGAGTGACGCTGGACCTCTCTAACTCTTGCCTTATTTGAGTAGCTTGTTTGCTGCCCAAAGAAGAGGGGCTTCTGAATGTGAGAGGCTACCCCTGTGCTTCTTCCTGGAGGGGATTGTTCAGGTGATCCCTCACCAAAGAAGCCAAGGAGATGAGCCCATACTGGGAGACAGATCAACTAATCTTTCCTGTCCCTAAGTTCCAGAGAGGTCACCTTCAGGCCTCAGGAATCTTTTCAGAGCCTGCTATGAGGGTCCCAAGCCACTTCCTCGCTCTGTCCCCTCCCTCTACCATGTTAGCCTCTGGATACAGTCTGGATCTTCTCATGTCTTTCTCTGCCTGTTGCCAACAGAGTAAGCAGATGTGCCAGAAATCCTAGCTACAGTGCTAAGTTAGACATTCTTCTTAAACATATAGTAAGGTCAGATGAAGGGAAAAAATAGAAAACAAAACACAAAACCCCCGAAACCAAAATTGGACACAGAAGGGCAGATGTAGACTGAACAGGAAGTGCTGGCCCTGGGCTAAATGAAACAGCTGTCACCATTGTTCTGGACCGAGAACCGCCTTTGCAAACTCCATGCGAGCTGGGCTCAGAAAGCAGATGTTAGTAATTACAGCACATGAAACCAAGGGCACAGGATTAGGAAAGTGACGAAAAAGAAATGGTACCGGTAGATTTATAGCTGGCCCAGGCAGATCTTCTCAGGTCAGTAGGGAGGGGGTGGGAGGCAAGTCAGCCTGGCTACAGAGGCCCCCACCCACTTCCTATCAAATATAGCCTCTCAGCCTCTCTGATCGTCCTAAACTTGAGAACTTGTTAGATTATTTAATGGTGGTCGGCTAGAGAGGTTGTTTCTAGCTGCCTTTCCAGGAATCCCACACTTATCATATCCAAAAGCCTCTGACCTACAGGATCCTAGCAGATAAAATCCCCAATACTGGAGATATTGTGGTAGGCACTAGGACTTGAGTTCAAATTCCCACCACTCACATTAGAAATGAAGCATAGTGGCATGTGTCCATAACCTAGGTGTTAGGGATGCGACAGGCAGATCCTGGGGCTCATGGGACAGCCAGTTTAGCCCAAACAATGAGTTCTAGGTTCAGTGAAAGATCCTATTTTGAAAATAAGGTAGAGAGTGCCGGGGGGGAAGACATCTGACATTGACCTCTGGCTTACACACACACACACACACACACACACACACACACACACACACACACACAACACACAGAAAACCCCAAGTGCCACACCTGGTCTCTGGACAGACGAATGGCTAGGGGAGTGGTTGATCTGCAGAAACTTTTGAGGACACAAAGCTAAGCAGTCGTTCTCAGAGGTCGTTACTGCCAAGTTCACGTTTAAAATCCAGGAGCTCTGTGCAGCTGAACTGGATTCACACTGTCAAGTTAGCTATGGAGAGGATGGGGAATCTGGGAGAATGTAAGGACCTCTGCGGAAAGCCAGCTAGGCAACTTTCTTGGGCTAACTACGTAAGTAGGAAAAGCAGTTTCCACACGCTTGCTGAATGTCCCTCCGTGCTTTTCCATGTGAGCTTGAGTTGTAAAACCAGACAAAACAACACACTCACATCCAAAACAAAACAAAAAACAAACAAACAAAAACTTCCCATCCCACTACCCATCAGAAAGAACGCCTCTCAGGAAGGTTCGAAGGAAGGTAGAAAGCATGTGTTTGCCATCTTTCTGCCTGATATGGAAACCATATGCTGAAATACACTAGCAAACACACTTAATATAACACTCTCTTTTATTAAATGTGGTTTTATAAACGCTCTCCCCAGCCAGGGCACCTTTGCCGTGCTGGAGGCTGGAACTTGGCAAAATACTCTTCCCACTGTTACATCTATTGATACACATTTTTTGAAAATGAGTCTCGGACCCTTGGAAAATAGGCTGGTTCTGATTATTACTGTGAGAGGGAAGGGGCACGGGAGGGCATCTTTTTTCCTCTGATAAATTAAAAGGACTGTAACGGGTGCTTTCTGTAACCTGTAAAAGGGCAGAGCCATCTGTGATTCATTTAGCAGCTCCTTACAGAAGATTTATTTGATTAATTCAGGCAGAAGAGAGAGAATATGGATTTTCCCCTTCTCAAAAGGCACATACACCCTCGCACATGCACACACGCACCCACCCATGGGCAGATATCTCAGGAATGAAAAATGACTAATTGTGTTATTGGAACTGGTGAGCGTGGGGCCTCTGTGGCGAACAGCAGGCTGCTGCCCTGCTGGAGGGACGGCCCGTTTCAGAACAGTTCACAGGCCCCAGGCCTGGTACCACTGAGGACTGCGTGGAGAACAGCACCAGGATGCTGGGTTGTTTTGATGAAGAAGGATCACTTAGTGCCAGGTACTCCCCCAGTCCCCTAGTGTGGGTTTCTCATTGCAGGGTCTCAGAGACCCCTCAGGGAGGAACTTACCCTCACTTTACAGACAGAGGCACTGCACATGTCCAGTCTGCCTTTGCTTCAAACTCTCTTTGCTTTTTCTATTCTTGCTACCACTGAGCTACATCCCAGGCCTCTCTTGCCATTTTGTTATTTAGCGTGCTCGTGTGTGTTTGTGCGCACAAGTATGTTCACTTGTATGCGTGCTTGTACATGTAGAGGCTGTGTACATCTGGTGTCCTCCTTCAGGTGCTATCCATCTTGTTTTTGAAACAGTCTCTTACCTTGCCTGGAATTCACCAATTTGGCCAGCAAGTCCCAGAGACCCCTTTGTCTTTGTCTCCCCTGCACTGGGATCTAAGTGCATGCCACCACACCTGACAGACATGCCACCACACCTGACAGACATGCCACCACAC